TCCCGGGGCTCCTCCCCACGGGGCGCCGCGCCTGACGCGGACGGCGGGGGTCTGTCGGTCGAAGGCTGAGCTGTCACACCTGCATTCCGGGAGGCCTCGGGCCGAGGCGCGGCCGACGGGGAGGGCGGGCAGGGCTGCCCGATGTGTGGCAGGACTCTCAGCAGCCGGTGCCGCGCCGCTGCCGAGGAGCCGCTGGCCGGCCTTGGAGCCACGGGCGGGCGGGGCTTCACCCTGACGACCTTCTTAGGCTGCAAGCAAAAAGGGGACATGTCATTCCTTCACACAGTCTTTGTCTCTACCTAGGAACACAAATGAACCAAAGAAAAATGTTACTTACCAACAACACTCATGAGCATTGTTAGGACCTTAATGAAAATGTTTCAAGATTAAAGTCTTAAAAGCTGTCTTGCTTTATTTAGTTTTCTGAAGATGTTCAAGCACAATAGTTGTTTTACTTATTGTCTTCATTACTGAGTATTTCTCAGAGTTTTATGGAAAAGAAAACATTGATTACGTTAGGGATGATTCTGCTGACTTATTACAGATCGTCGACAATTTTTCCTACGAGGATGATTGATTGTTCAAGAGTTGACAGGCCTAACCTGCTACCTCTGAGAGGTACCACGTGCAAGACTAAGCAGCACTGACTTCTGGGATGCATTTCCCTTCCTTAGCGGACCAGAGCACCGCAGCTGCCGAGCAACAGCATGCTTTCTGCAGAACGCCTGCTATTTTGGAAGCGGAAACTGCACATGCCAGGCCAAGGGCGTCCACACAGGCATGCCAGATAAAATCCCGTGCACAGGATCGCTCTGGAGCCTGGAACAGCCCATCCGCTGGGGCCCCCTCGTGGGGCCCCTGGGAACCTCGGGCTTGGTTTTCAGTGGACTTGACTCCCTGTTCTTTTTCCCTTTGTACATTCTACTCTTCAAACTTTTGCTGTAATACAGTTACACACTATGTACCCAGAGTCCTGTCAGTCTTCTAAGGCATCAGCATATCTGGGGAGTGGCTTGCACCCTCCTGTCACAGAGGTTCCACTAAAAGTATCACAAAGATTGCTTTGTGTGTCCCTCCCCCACGGTATAACCCCTGCTTTCACTGTATTTGATGTCGGTATAATTTGTGGAGGGGAAGGGGAAAAACAAATCGTTTAAATAGGGATACAGGTGGACCC